CGTTTATCCAGCTGTTTGTGGCATGGACTGTTGTCCCAGTTGGCTGCCTGTGAGGCACTGCGAGCTGGACTGGGGAAGAGGTGATTGTGCTCCCGGCCAAGGGCGGCTGCAGCTCCTGCTCTGTGCTGCACACAGCAGCCAGCTGAGAACTGGCTGCAGCCAGGCTGCAAATCTCCCTTGAGTGCCCAGAGTTCAAAACATCCCATGGAAATAAACGCAAATTCTCGCTGCTGTGTTTCCCAGCCCTAGTGGGCTCAGATTGGAGGGTCCAAGGGGTCAGGCTTTGTAGCTCAGGCTCTTCTGTGGCCACAGCCCTAGCAGAGCACTGCGTGGTGCCAGCATGAGTCCTGACAGTGTGTTTGTCCATCATGGCCCAGGGAGGATGGGGCGAGATGCTGGCGGTTGGAAATATTTCATAAATGGCAGAAACGTGTAACGGGCAGATGTGGCTGATGGGGGAGATTTACTTCACTTTTCCAGGGGTGCTGGAGGCCACTGGTCTTCCGGTGCCAGGGCTGTGGCTTCTCAGACAAGGATGGCTCATGCCCTGGGCTCAGCTTCAGGGTGTGTTTTGCAGCCAGCAGTACACGTGGCCACCTATTATCCCACACCAGCCACCGGGGCTGTCCAGCTGTGCTGGACTTGATTAAAGGTCTTTTCTAACTGGAAAGCTGTCCAAAGGCATGAGCAAAGGCTCTCTGGATGCTGCTTCTCTGTGGTGTGCTGGTGCTCTTGGTTAGTTCGGAAACATGGAACCAGACTGGGAGAGTGAATTCCCCACTGAAGGGTGTCTCTGTGTTGCTCCCACTTGCTGCTCTTGACCCTTCATGGGGGTCCAAGTGAGCCATCCCCTCTGTAGCAGGTTGGCATCAAGTGTGGAGGGCAGCATGGGGATGCTGAAGGTGCCAGTTCACCTACAGCAGAGGAGGGGTGGAGCAGCTTTCCCAGTGCTGGCACACACCCGTGTCACCTCAGGCATGTAGCCTGGCTCATTGGCCGGAGCTGTGTCCACAGGGGAGATACGTTCAGTTCCAGCATGTTGCCTCTAGCATGCCCTCCTCCTGCCTGGCTCTTTCACGACCCAGGCTTGACTGACTTGTCCAGCTGGGACTGAATTTTAGGCTTGAGGTGTGAGGGGCCAAGTTGGAGAAAGCTCCACAGATTTAAAACTCCAGTGGCAGCCCCCTGTGCTGCAGGCGTGGCTGCCCGCCCTCTTTCTCCAGCTCTGCCTGGCAGTGCTTTCTGTCCACTCCCTCCTCGCAGGGACCTTTGGCAGCCCCAAGCGGGCTGAGCACGTGGGGTCTGTTTCCTTCCCACTTCCCCCAGCGTGACCTCCGGCCTCCAGACGTTTGGTGTGTGGTTTGTGCGGTCGCTGGTATCTCATCTCCTCATCGGTCACATCCCCTCTCGGTGGTGAGTCACTCGAGGCCGTACCTCTTCCCCCAAACCCGTGCCGTTTTCGAGAGCTGAGCAAAGATGAAGAAGATGTTTTCGAGTGGGCTGACACATCTGGACCCGCCAAGTTCCTCTAATAACAGCCCTTAGTGATTTATGTCTCAATTTTGCAAAACGGGTATGTTTTATAATCTTGGAACTGGAAAGGAGGAGGACAGGTGTTCTCATCCACTGCGGCAACTGGAGCATCACAGAGGTTGCATTTTGGCTGCTGACTAAAGGGATAAAGTGATTTGAGGGACAATCTCTGTGCTCTGAACCCTTTTACCCTCCAGATCTGGGCTGCTTTGGATCATGTGTGTCCCTGCTGGCATGAGATGGGTGTTGGTGGTGCCTTTCCCAGGCGGTCAGAGGCTGAGCTAATGGGCACACGCATGTGTTTGGCGTGGTGTAACTTGGCAGGGAAGGGGGGCACAGCCAGTCTGGGCTTGGCAGTGTTGCCAACTCGCACCTCCCTGCCTGTGCTGTGGTGCCAGACCGCCTCTGGGCAAGCAATTGGCTGAAGGAGCGTGGCTCAGCCTGCTGAGGCCTGTCGGCGTGTCTCTGGGCAAAGCGGATCTTGTGCTGGTTCAGCAAACACTCTGGCCCCAGGCAGATGGAGATGGTTGTGGTTTCCCCTTTTCCCCTCCCTTTCTCCTGGCAGAAGCCCATGGTTGGGGTGAGCTGTGCGTTGCTCACTGCGGTAGAATTTCTCCCCTTGGCATCGCTTTCTGGCACGGAGATCCAAGGAGGCAGCGACTCACCCGCGGCCGCCTCCTGCGAGTGCAGCTCCTCAGCGCATGGAGGAGCAGCTTCACCTCCAGGTCCTGCCCGGGGCACTGGGGCAGCAGGTTTTGGGCTACGTGCGAGTCTTTATGCCAGCAGCCCGTCAGCGTGGCTGCTGGAGGGCTGTACGGAGGAAGGGATGTTCTGGCAGTGCCTCGAGGCTGGATTTGCATTCGGTTCATCCCCAGGAAAGCTGTGGTTCAGATTCCTTCTCCCTACTCCAGCTCTGGTTCTTGGCAGGGAACAAACCAGGTAAATACAGCCTGTGCAGCTTCTTCAGGCCCTTTGCAAGGGAAAACAGTGTCGCTGGTAGACCCGAGGCTGGAGTTCAAGTGTTTCTCTGGTTTTGCTGATGCTCAGCTGTGTGATGCACCAAGTCATTGCCCCTGCCTATGCCTCAGTTTCTCCACCTGCAGAGCTTTGGAATGTGCTTTGAGCTCCTGTGTTGGGCTTAGATCTCTCCAAGGAGTAGCGCTGCTGTTGTGGGCTTCTGGAAGTTGCTGGGAACAGCTGCCTGGTGTGAGGTGGCTTTGGGGTTGGCTGGTGGCATCAGTTCTGCTGCTGTTTCCCAGCTGGTATGGTGACACTGCCCTGCAAGGTTCCCAACCTGTCCATCTGAGCCTGTCCCCAGCCTGGACACTTTGCATTCCCCTCCTGCTCCTGCAGTCCTGAGCTGAGACGGGGTCACTCTAGCAGGATGTGATGATGCTGACCAGAGAAGAAGCCCCAGAACATCTGGAGCTGGGACTGAGTCTGTGTTATCCCTTGCGGGATATGATGCCAAAAGCAGGGAGGTGCCCTCGTAGGACCATGGATGTAACTGGTAGCAAAATGCCTCACATCAAAAAGCTGTGTGTAGGTGTCCCTGTGCCTGATGGCAGTGCTGGAGTGTGTTCCTTCCCTGGAGCCCTGCAGGTGGCTTCATGTCCTTACACCACGTGCAAGTGGGGACATGCCATGGGCATCTGTGCACAGTGGTGTCTGCAGCATGGGATGCGTCTCGCTGTGATCCCCGTGCCGGTGTTTCCGCCTGCTGGAGCAGCTGGGATTGATGTCTGGCTGGGAGAAGGGGCTCACGTGGGGACATGTGCGGCCGGAGCCTCCAGGCTGGTGTGGCATGGGGTGCTCCAGGGGCTTTGCCATGCTGCAGACATGTGCTCTGCCAGATGGGACTCCCCTTGGAAATGTGTCACTCCTGCTCCAGATGCTGGCTCCTTGCCAGCCCAGTCCTGCAGGAGCGGTGACAGTGACACTGACACGGCCGAGGCATATACAGTGTGGAGCAGCACTGCTCATAGAGCTCTCTCCAGCTCTGGAGTAAGAAAAGGTGTTTGGAAACGCTTCAGTGTGAAGGTTTTGGGGTTACCAAGGAGAGGCGTGAACGTGTGTACGCGTTTCGCGCCTTTGCAGCGCTGTGCTCAGGGTTAAACAGCAGGTTTTACCTGCTGGGAACGGGCTCTGCGTTGAACTGCACGGGCACAGCAGCTCCCCTGGTCCCGCTGCTGGAGGGTTGGCGTGTGCGGGTGATGCCGCTGGGATCTGTCGGGCGATGGATGCGGGCCAGGAGCTGTGCGGAGCGCCGCGTCGGTGAGGCACATATGCCGGGATGCAAACATGTACGCGAAAGAGATCCTGGCTGTCTAAATAATGTGAAATATTGACTAGCTCTCGCAGATGGTGCTCCACGTGCAGCTTCGGCGGCTGAACTTCTCCGTCTCCCCTTGGGTTTTGGTGTGATGTTGTTTTGAGCCAGTTGGATGCCGGACTCTTGACAAACTTGTTGCCTGGTTGCTTTCAGTGGGATCGTTGAATTTGGGGGAAGTTGGTTGTTAATGTGGGCTGAGAGGAAGGGAGAAGGGTTGCAGAGGGCTTGACTGGTTCCTTGCGATTCTCCTGATGGCTTTAACTCAGTTTTTAAATTATGGCATGGACTGGGATGCTGGTTCTGGTGAAGGGTTGGGTTTGTAGTGTTGCACGGGTGTCGTTTGGTGGCAGTGTTGGAGAGGAATTGCTGCCTGTAGCAAACAGAGTGTGTGTTATTACCACTATTACGGTGATTGTATTCACTGAGGAAATGCTGATGAGGATGATTTGCATGAGGGCGTTGCTGGGGACCCAGTGTCCAGGACATCCAGACCACTGGCAGCAGGGTCATGAGGATGTGCTGCTTTCATATCAGCTCATGGATGGTTGTCACACTTTCTCCTCTGTTTTGCCTTCCTCTGGGATAAGATGCTAGGTTTGGTATGTGAAAACGCACTTTTTGTGAGCTGCTCTGGAGGATACTCATGTTTTCCCAAAGCATGTAGCCAGTGCTGAGCACCTGCAGCAGGAATGAGCTGTGTTGGCAAAGCTGTGCTGGCAGGAAGGTCTTATCATGGCTCTGGAAGCATGTCGAGGAGTGTCCTCACCCACAGGTTGCTGTACTTGTGATAAAACATCTTATCGGCCAGGTGGTTTGGTCAGTGAGCCCTCAGGTGTCAGGCTGTGCTCAGGAGGCAGCATGCTCCATTTGCTGCAGAGCTGGAGCTCCACAGAGGTGCCCAGGTTGAGCTGGGGGACCTGCAGTGTGGGGTCAGTTCCTGCAGTGGGGTCCCCGAGCACACTGCCCTGGGCTGTGTGTGCTGTGTGTCACCGCGTGCGTCCCCGCCACCGCCGCCGCTCCTGGCGTGCGAGGGACCGACAGCCACAACAGTCTGTGCTCCTGCGGGGCTCGTTCCAAGGCAGCGTGCTGCTCGGGATAAAACATGTTTCCCTCTTCTGTTTCCCGTTTTCTGCAGGCTTTTCCCATCTGCCTAGCGGTCTCTACCCATCGTACATTCCCCTGAGCCACCTCGAACCTCCCAGTGCCGGCAGTCCGCTCCTGGCCCAGCTGGGACAGCACAGCCTCTTTGAGTCGCAGAAAGGTGAGTCTGGGACCCTTTTGGGCTTGTTTGGGTGCTGGAGCAGCTGGATGCTGGAGTGCTGGGGGTGAAGGGCAGGAACTGCCTTGGGTGGTCAGCCAGGGATGTATCCTGGGCTGAGCAGTACCAAGGTTTTGGATATGGCTATCCTGTAGGAAAGCTGACCAGGTCCCTCCTTGAAGCCCCAGTATGCACCAGAGACAGGACTGTCTTGCATCCCACATGGAGGAACCTGCTTGGTCTCCTTTGCTCTGGGCATTTTTGTTTAAGACATCCTTGAAATCCATTCTTTCCTGGTTTGCTACCTCTTGCCTGTCTCTGTGTAGGACTGAAGGGGTTGGAAGCCTGTGATAATTTTGGTTGCTTTTATTCTGCAGATGGATTCTACCTGTCCAGCCATGCAGGCCAGTCTGCTTTGCACCCACAGCCTCCCCTCTCAAGGACTGTGGGCAGCCACACGTCGAGCACTTTGCTCCGGGAAAAGGACCTTGGGCAGCTGCACAAGAGCTCGAAAGAAGGCCTGAAAGACCCCGGTGGGAAGGAGCGGGCATGCCGGAGCGATTTGTCCCTACCCTTTGCCAAGAAGGAGAGCAAGCCGAAGGAGGAGCCCCGACCCCGCAGTGTGGTCGACCTCACACAGGACACCAAGCCCGACAGCGACCGGAAAGTGAGCGTGGTGGAGAAGGCGGTGAAGGTTGGCGAGCGTCTCTCACCGTTCCTGGCTGAGCACATGCCAAATCGGGGCACAGGCAGTGGGGAACCCAAGTCCAAGAACCCGTTGCAGAGCTCTTCCCTCAGCAACTGCAACGGTGGTGGGGACCCCATGCTGAAGGTCCTGGGTGCCGAGCAGGACCGCTGTGCCAAGGATCCCGCTCGACACGATGAGAACATGAGGCCTTCTGCGCACGCCCACGCGGAGCGGCTGAAGCGGGGGGAGCCCCTCCTGCCCTCTGTGGGCGCTTTGCACATCTCCTGTAGCTGTCCATCCCCACACCCCTCGCAGACGGGGAAGATGACGCCGGCCACAACATTCCCTCCGCAGCCCGTCCATTCCAGCATGTACACCATCTTCCCACCGGCCAAGGAGCTGGGGAGGGAGCACAAAGTAATCGCCCCCACCTTTGTGCCTTCGGTCGAAGCCTACGACGAGAGGAGCGGGCCCATCCAAATCGCCTCCCAGGCCCGTGACAACAAGGGGAAGGACAAGGACCTTGGCAAGGTGGGGGTGCTGCAGTCACCCACGGAGCGGTGCCTTGCAGATGCCTCCCGCACACTCTTGTCCCAGGACTTTTCTTGTCACAGTGATGCCAAAAGGATGGAGGTTCTGAGGGAGAAGGGTTCGGTGATCAGGACGAACTCCATGGCACTGAAGAGACAGGTCACTTCAGAGCCCTTCCTCAACCGGCCGGGGCTGGGCTCTCCGGAGAGCAGGGAGTTCCTGGCCTCCAAGGATTTGCTGAAGCCGAGTCCGGAGGCAGAGCATCGCCCCTGCGAGCGGGACCGCTTCCAGCGATCCAGCTCCAAAGAAGCAGCAAAGGTCTACGGCACTTTGGACTCTTCCCGGCAGCACCTGGACCACGGTCAGCTGAAACCGCCCGAGCAGAAGTGGAAGCCCTTTGAGATGGGCAACTTTGCCACCACGCAGATGGCGGTGCTGGCCGCGCAGCACAACCACGTCAGCCGGGTGGAGGAGGAAGCCAAGAAGGTGTACCTTGACCCCAGTGGTTTGCCGCGGTCCTCGGTGGTGGGCTCGCGGGGCGCCGCAGACGTCCTGCACCCTGCCTCGCACGGCGAAGGCTCGGCCATGCAGAGCCTCATCAAATACAGCGGCAGCTTTGCCAAGGAGACAGCATCCCGGCAGAGCTGCGGCAAGAAGAGCCCCTTTGGGGGTTTAGGCAATGTGAAGTTGGACTCTGCACAGCTGGGAGCCTCCAAGGTGCAGCAGCTGCTGCTGCAGCAGCCTGCGAAGCAGCTAAAGAGGGACCCTGAGAGACCCGAGAGTGCCAAATCCTTCGGCCGTGAGAGCATCGGCTCCCAGGGCGAGGTGGAGGTGAGGCACTTGCCTGTTGGCATTGCTGTGGCTGTGGCCCGGCAGAAGGACAACGGCAGCAGCAGCAGCAGCAACAGCAGCAAACTGGGGCCCAGCTTGGCAGACCGGGATCGCTCGCTGTCTCTCAGCAGCATCAAAGGTAGGTTCCCTAGGGCTTGTCTCAGGGCATCCCTGGAGGATCTGGTCTCTGGGAAGAGCAGCCACCCAGTGCAGGCTGTGTGCCATGAACTGCATTTGGCATCTTCAGCTGGGTTTGCCTCCCTTGCCAGCCAAGGACATGTTGTAAAGCACAGTAGGAAGCAAGACCCCCTGTGCAAGATGTAGTCAGTCCCCTGTCCCTGCTTCCATCCCCTCTGGCCACCTCTGAGGACAATCCTGCTCCATGAGTTTGATCCATTAGCAAAGGGAGTGATGGAGAAACCTCTCAAGCCACTTTTGTGCTGGTGTTGTAATCTCATGATTTCGATTTAAGCCGTGGTGCTGGCAGGAGGGGGATGGCACCAGAGAGATTTTGCTTCTCTGCTTGGCTTGTATAGCAAGATAACACCCGGGGGCTACCCGGCACGGGGCTCTGGTGTGCCAAGGAGCGATGCCAAAATGAACGGCTGGCGAGCAATGCTCGGCTTTCCAGTTTTAGCCCTTGCCTCCCCCATTTTTCTGCCTTCCCCCCCCACCCCAAACTTCAGTGGAAAGAAGCAGTTTCCCTCAGGCAGCAGCCCCTCTCCCCATTCCCATTGCCTCCCAGTGCCCTCCCCACAGCCGGGCGGGAGCCGGCCGAGGACCTCGTGGGCAGCACAGGGAGCTGTTTGTTCAGCCGTTCAATCGTCCCAGACGCTCCCAGCTTGCGTTAAATGTAATTTACTGAGCCGAACTAAAAGGCTGCAAACAAGGGTTGAATTCTGGCAGGCCTCTGGGCTCGTTGCTAAGTGATGCAGTTGGCTTTCAGACAGAAAACAAGACTGCTTTTCTCCTCCTCTCGCCCCCCAAATGCTGCCCCCCCTTTGTGTGCCAGGAGATATTCGTCTAATAACATTAGCTTGCTTGCGCTGAGTGGACGGTGCTTGAATGTTTAGACCTTTTAAGAAGGAGAAAGCAGGCTTTAGTTGGCTAATCTGTAGTATTTGGCAAGTAAAATGCAAGTATTTAGTACTGGGCATTGGTTGTCAAGGGAACGGACCTAAGCCTTTCCTCCATGCATAACTGATTGAATTTTTCTATGCAGTCCGTGCGTCATGTTCATATATATAGACAGAATGATCATTCACTGTCTGGACAATCATCGTTCTGTCCAGAAAAGGGACTTGTCCTGTTGGTGGGATGGAAGCTGGGCGGGAATTAGAGGTCCTACAGTGTTTGTGTTTGGATGGTGGGGGTGGAAAAAAGATGATAAACTCGTCTAGAAATAATGGAGTGCAAGGAGTGTAGATGGGAGAGGGAGGAGCGATGATAAAATAACAAAATAACGCCTTTCTAATGAAGGGCTGGGGCTGGGGGTTTACTCACTTTATGCCAAGGAAGGAAGGGAGGCTGTGGACTCTCCAAGGAATTTCTCCATATTGCTGACACCAAAGAGACAGCTGGGCATTGACTGGGGGAAAGAAAGAGGAAAAGGGGCTCCAAAGGGGAAAAAACCTGGGCTGAGGTGTGGAAAGGGAATGCTGGTGGAGAGGCAGTGGGAGGTCTTTGGGCTCCAGAGGGATTTGTGAGCCCCTGTGCTGTGGAGGTTGGGGAGTAAAAGTGAGCAGTGGAGGCTGTGTGAGGCATCATTCAGTGAGTCAAGGAGGGGCTGGTTGGGGTTGGTTGGGCTGCACGTGGTGTCCTGGCAGAGATGTGGTGACCCTGGAAAGTCCTTCAGGAGGGAGAGCTGTGTGCCAGGTTTTAAAGCATCTTTGTTTTCTGCCTGGAGCCCATGGAAGGAGCCTTGGGGAGAGGAGCTGGGAGAGATGTTGTCTTGTTCCTGGATTCCTTCTGACAGTAAAAGCTGAGGGAATTGGAGACTTGACAGCAAAAAACCCATGGGCTGTCCAGGTTTGTGGAAATACACACTAGAGCTCTCCTTGGAAAGACTGCCTGTCAGCAGAATAGACTTGATGTTCCGAGATGTTTTCCCATGTGCCAAACCATATCCAGACAGGAGAGTGAGGACCCTGGGAAGGGCTGCTGGGGTGCAGTCCTGTGAGGCTGAGTGCTCTCTGCAAGCAGGGCTGGGATTTAGGAGCGGATTGTATCACCAAAGCATAGTGCAGAGAGGGGCAACAGGGAATTGTATGAAAAATGAGTATGCAAGAAAGAAGCTAGGGAAGAAACTAGGGAAAAGCAAGCTTAAAATCAGGCAGTTGGAGGGAAGACCTTGGATAAAGGGAAGGATGGACCCACTACCTGGTCCTGGCAGAGCCAAGCGAGGCTCTGCTGCTCTCTCCTGTGAGGGTGCCTCCTAACCTCTCACAGATGCAGCTGCTACCATGCCAGGCTGTATTTGCAAGAGCTGTGCTGATTGTGGACAAGTGATTCCTCCAGCCAAACATCCAGCCCCCCTTTTTGGATTCCTGCCCTCATCTGCCATATGTGTCCCTGCCTCATCCGACCCTCTCTTGTTGCATGTCTCGAGGGGGATGCAAATTCCTGCTAGTGGTTGAATTGCAGAGTGGAGCACGCTGGTTTTGTGAGGATCTGTATTGTTGGTTCTGCCTGTTGCAGAAGGACAGGGATTCAGAGCATACTCAGTGCTCCCAGACTGATTTACAAGATCAGAAGATGCTTCAGAAAAGTGCAGAGTTAAAATCCTTCCCCTCTCTGAGATGTGCTAAGCAGGACTATGTAGTTTGATGCAGGATTTAGCTGCATCTTGGCTCTTGTTGGGATGGGAAAACTGTCCTTCAGCACAGTGGTCCCTTTGGTCCTGTTGCTCCCAGGCTAGTGGCTGTGCTGGCCTGGGAGACTGACCTGGCATGGCAAGTAGTTCCTAGATGTCTTGGAGGCACGAACCTCAGACTATATGCACTTGGGTGCTACCAAGAGAATATCTTCATCACACAGAGAGCCTTGCCTGGTCTTTCAGGATTTGAACCTGGAACATCCTTGGGGACGCTGGTGTTTGGGTACACTGGCTCTCAGCTACTCTGCTCCATGCCCAGAGGAGAGGGGACAACTTTCTCCAGGCCATTTCTCCTGTCTGATGGTGCTGGGTTGTCTCTTAGGACATGGACGCTCCGAAGATGACTGTGGGGATGAGAGGAGCCGCCACCGGGACAGCCACCTCCTGGCAGGGCGCTTGGAGCGGGATCAGGAGAAGCTGCTCAGGTGAGGCTTGGAAGGAGGTGAGATCTTTTGCCATAGTCACAAGCTTAGCTCAGGGACAGCCAGTCCAGAGAGGACACAGGATTGCATCCATCCTGGTGTAGGTGCTGGCACCAAACTTGCTGGTTTGGAGAGGGATGCTGAGCTGGGTACACGGGGCTATAGGCAAATCCTAAGTCCTCAGCAGAGCAATCCTAATAGACAGCTGCAAATCCATGTCTGCTCCAAAGGGCTGGAGAGATGGAATGTTTTATTCTAGACTTGACACTTCCATCATAGTTCTCCTTGAGCCACTGACCCTGCTTTGCAAACAGTGGTTCTGCAGGCTGGTCCATACTCCTGGGCTCCTCCATCACTTAAACCTGCTCTCACTCTCTCTCTCTCTTGCCTCCTCCATCCCCAGAGAAAGCAAGGAGCTGGCAGATTTTGCCCGAATACACCCCTCCAGCTGTGCCACGAATGGTTTAAACTCCAACCTCATGGTGACAGGAGGCCCAGCCCTGGCGGGCTCCGGGCGCTGGTCTGCAGATCCAGCTTCGCACTTGGCAGCCCACCCCTGGCTCCCCAGGACAGGGAGCCCCTCCATGTGGCTGGCTGGCCACCCCTACGGTGAGTACCCTGGGAGGGAGCAGTGTCCAGAGGCTGTTAGCACCAATGAAATCCAGGGAAAAGTGTTGCTACAGCCCAGTGAGGCTGTTTGATGAGCTCAGGGAAAAGGGAAAGAGGCATTTCGGAGCATTAGATGACTTCTCGTGTGGGTGGGAGCTGTCTGCATCCCCTGAGTTGTGACTTTGGTGTTTTTTCTTCCAGGACTTGGTCACCCTTCCTTGCACCAGGGCATGACTCCAGGCTTCCCCCCTGCCATGGGGGGAGCTCTCCCTTCTGCCTACCAGTTTGCCAGAGACCCACAGTCAGGGCAGCTCGTTGTGATCCCCAGCGAGCACTTGCCACACTTTGGTAAGGATGTGAGCTTGTCCCAGAGGACATTCTTTGACAGCTGTGGGAAAAACAGACTTTGGAGAGGGCCAGAGAGGATCATACCTGACTGGGGACCAGCAGCCACAGCTGTGGGGTGGGTGTGAGAGGGCCTCTCGTTAAGGTGTGTTCTGGAGATGGAAACATGTAATCCTTAGCAGTGGCTCTTCATCCCCTGCAGGACCCTGCAGAGTTTGAGCCCTTGGTTAGGAGAATCTATTCCTAGGCTCAGGCATGGACAGTCAAACCAAGGGCAAAGCAAGTCCAGTGGCCCTAGGGCACAGGGGTGGTGGGATTGGGACTGCAGAGGGGAACACAGCACACTTTTTCTTCTGGTTTGTGGTTGTATTTCTGCACAGCCTGGTGTTTGGCATCCCCTACACTCTGGAACTTTAGAGACCATTTCCCTGAGCGATCCTGAATCCTTTATCCATCCTTACCCTGCTGTCTCCCTGACTGCATCTCTGCTCATTCCACAGCAGAGCTGATGGACCGGGCACCCCCCCTGTGGCCCGCTATGTACCCCCCGACCAGGAGCTCCCTCCAGCACGCTCACCAGCTGCAGCTCCTCTCCCATCAGCAGCTGCTGCGGCAGCACGAGCTGTACATCCTGCAGCAGCAAGCAGCCCACGCCATGGAGCTGCAGAGGAGTGCCCAGCTCGTGGTATGTTCTCAAGAACTTCTTGCTTGGCCATGAAATGAGCCTGAAGTTGGAGTGTCTGGGGAGAAAATGAAAACACAGGCAGCTGTGCCTGTGTGGCAAGTGTGTCTCAAGGGTATGGATGCACTGAGTGATCCTGCCCTGGTCTCTGGGATATGAAGTATTTGGTGTATCCTGCAATTAGAGTGGGTTTGGAGGGGTTTGGTGTAGAGCCACTGAGCAGTGCTGTCAGAAGAGCTCCCCAGCAGCAGCAGTGAGACCTAGATTCCTTCCCATGGGATGTCTCTGTATAGTTGAGTGCTTTCATCCCTGGTCACCCCCAAACAAACCTCCTGAGCAGCTCAGAGAAGCAGCTTCAGGACTTGCAGCAGTCACACTGGCTCCTGGAGAGAGCTCCCATTCATGAAAAGGTTTTGGAAGCCAAGAGCTTTCATTTGGGTGTTTTACACCTGTTCATTTTTATAGTGGTCCTCTGGTTTTCAGCCATCATTTTACATGTGGGTTTGCTAGGCTGGAGGCTTGGAAATAGAAATGGTTTCCTTTGGCTGCAAATGGAAGCTGAGACATCCTTCTCATGACTCCTGGAGCTGGGAATTTGTAACAAAGCTATTGCAGATCAGTGTCACCCTCCATCAGATTGGTCTTCAAAAGGTCTTGCACTGGGGGACGTGTTTTATTCCACTGCATATTTGATAAGACCTTGTTTTGGTCTTGCTTGGTGGTAGTGCCACTTTCCAGATGCTGTGCTGAGTTTTGCTCTGTTCTTGTCACAGGAGAGGTTGAAGGCAAATGAGCAGCGTGTGGATATGGAAGAGAAGGTGACAAAACGGAGCCTGGACAGTGCCAAATCAGGCCTTTCCTCCTCTGCCCCGGGACTGGTGCACCGAAAACCACCTGTGCTATCTCCCAGCGCCTCCACGTCCTACAGCAAGGCTGTGAGTCCACCTCCCCTCTCTCCCAGGGCCTCACCCGTGTCTGTGCTCAAAGCTGAGGTGATCCAAAAGATGGAGGAGCCACCTTCGCAGCCAGCCTACTCCTACCCCGCCACCCCCAGCTCCCATCCTTCCAGCCCACCCCCTGCCTCTCCACCCCCTGCCCCTGCCATCCCTCCAAAGGAAGAGGCACCCGAGACCGTGGAGAAGAAAGACCTGGAGCTGGAAAAAGAGGCTGCTGGTCCATATCAGGCCTTGTTCCCAGGTAAGAGAGCCCTGCTTTGGCAGAGTCCCGTTGTGTTTGTGCCTGCCTCCCTTTTTCTCCTCGGCTCTTTCCTGCTTCTGTCCCTTCCCCTAGGGAAAGCCACATAACTCCTCTAAAAGGCAGGGGAGAGGGAAGGAGCAGGGCTGTTGTGATGGACTGGGATTGGTGCCTGGGGCTGTAGGCTCTCTTCTTCCCTTGGGCCGAGCCTGGGTTGGTTCTTCCAGGGCTGGAGTCCCAGTGGGAGAGGATGCAGGAGGCAGATCTCTCTCCAGTTGCATGAAAGTGCTGGAAAGGTGCAGAAGGGACCTCTGAGGTGCTGCCTGTGGCAGCTTGTCAGGAGAGAGGTGCCCAAAGCAGCTATTGCTTGAGAACGGGAAGAGACCAAAGATGATGGAAGCAAAGGGAGCTGACTCCATGCCTCAGTGAGAGAGAAGGTGCTTTGGAGACTCAGCCATTACACAGTCTGTCCCTTCTGATATCTTGCAGAGATCCCCCCTGGATACCCATTCCAGTCCCTGCCTCCCTCCTTTGGAAGACACTATCCCTACCTCCTCCAGCCCCCCGCAGCATCTGATGCGGATGGCCTGGCTCCTGACGTCCCGCTGCCTGCTGAAGGCTCTGAGCACATGGATCTTTCCTCAGAGGTCAAGCCCATCCACTTGTCTCCGTCCAAAATCCTTGAGCCCATCCAAGCAGCAGCAGAAGAGGAATCCTTGGAAGAGAGGGTGAAATCAGAGGTGCAGATGGAGGAAAGCCAGGAAAGCATCTGTGAGCAGGACATGGGGACTCTGAACATCACCACCTCTGCAGCCGTCCCAGTGCAGAACGTGGACAATTGCAATCTCCTGTTGCACCAAGGCGAAGCCCTGGGTGCTATGGAGCAGGAGCAGGAAGACCTCCAGAGCTGCCCACCTCCTTACCAGGTTGTGGCCTGTCCTGCAGAAGCAGAGGCTGAGGCAGAGAGCGGGAGTGGAGCAGAAACCTGCTCCATGCACATGGACTATGACGGTTTGCTCGTGCATGCAGAGAGCAAGCCACCGGAGATGGAATTGACGCCCCAGCGGGAGGAGGCCTCTGTAGCCATGGATCTGCAGAGCTCTGACGTGCCCCGGGTGAGGGAGTTTCCCAGCCTGCCTCCTGAGGAGGGGGAACAGGGGCCAGAGATCCCTTCCTACGCAGAAGAGGCAATCACTTGCCAAATCCCAGATCTGGACATCAAGCCGGGTGACCCACTGGCTGGGATGAATGCTTTGGTGGCTGCTACAGAAATGCCTCAGGCTTGTTCCTTGTTGACTACCACCACTGTCACTCCACCCCAGATGAAGGTGGAGGTGTTAACTGACCAGACCCTGGAGCACTCCTTCCTGCAAGGGATCACTTTGCTGAGTGAAATTGCAGAGATGGAGCTGGAGAAACGGAAGCAAGAAATGCAAAGTAAGTTTTGAGTGGGGAGTCTGGTCAACTTTGGACCATGCTGCGTTTCCCAGCTTATTGTCCCTGTGCTCTCATGTGGGCAGAGGCGCAGAGTCACGGGTGGGATCCCTTGCAGTCTCAGCCAGGCAGCAAGGAGAGCATTGCTCTGAGTTGCATGAGTAGCTGGTACTTCAGATGGGGTTGGAGCAGGGTTTTTGTTGCAGCAGGCTGAGCTACGTGTGGCTTTTGTACTGCTCTCCCTTCCAAAGGCCCTCGCCATGTCTAGACAGTTTGTGGTATGCGTAGCGGAAATGGAGCCCCAGTTGCTGAGAGCTGCCAGGGCAACACCCTTCTGGCAGGCACTGAGTCCACAGTCTGTTGGGGTTTGGCACCAGAGGCCCCAGTAGCTCCAGATGACGCTTTCCAAGAGCTTGGCAGGTCCCGAAAAGAATCTCACCTTCCAGTAACTTCCTGAGGTGAGAAGTGATGGGAACTGCCAGTTACACCATGGTTGAGTACAACAGGGGATCTCAAGTGGGGGCCGAGGGTGGCTGGGGGCTCCTTGAGCAGCCATAGTTGAGAAAGGGCCATCAGCCCCTCCTTGTGCCTGTTGGAGAAGCAGTCTTGGAATGTGATCTTCTATAGCTTTTTTTTCTGTCCTTCCCAGCAGGTCCAGAGAGTTTCCCTGTCAGGCCAACACTGGAGAGTTTGCTGGCTGCCAGCACCCACATGCTCATGGAAGTACTTTCCACCCCCTTTATGGAAAGTCTGAAAACCATCCGGCTGCCTCGAGAGCTGAATCCCAACAAAAAGTACAGCTGGATGCAGAAGAAAGATGAACCAGTAAGTAGCTCTTAGTGTGGTTGAGCCTGGAAAGCCCCAGTGCATCCACTCACACATCTCACTGTCCCAGCCCCAGTTTGGGGGCTCATGCTGGCTCGTGCTGCCCCCCTGCATTCAGCAGAACAAGCTGGTTGTTCCCCCATGTCACATTCCTGGCTGCATAGGAGTCAGTGGGCTGGAATTTAGGTTTTTCCCTTGTTTGTGAATCAGGGTTCAGCAGGACCCTCAGCAGCCCTGGAAGTGGTGTTTTAATGTGGAACCAGAGGAACTTGTGTGTTACTGTTTTTGCCAGAGGATAAATAAAAATAGTGGCAGCAGAGTTTTTCCGTGTTTATTTTTAATTTGCTGACTCTTCCCTGTGGAAGAGACTGATAAATTATTTTGTACTGAGCAAGTAAGTATTCCAAGATAGGGTATATTGTTATCTGTCTTTTTAAACAAGGTAGAAAGAGCATTTTATCATGCAGGTTCTCCTCCAGGGCTGCAGACCCTCAGAGCTGATGCCATCCAGTGCATAAGCCACAGAACATCTTTGCTTTGCTGTTTTTCTTGGGTACCACCCTGGGGCTGTGCTGGTGGGCAAGGGGTCTCTGCTCCCCTCTCAGCACAAAGGGCTTTCTGCCAGGCTGCACACCTTGGCCATTGCCAGGGCACCCAGTGGACATGTCCTGACCCTCTCTTGCCTCCCCACCCCAGATGTACTCCATCAAATCAGCCATTGAGAACATGGATGCCATGGAGCTGGACTACAGGATGAGGCTGGCGGAGCTGCAGCGGCGCTACAAGGAGAAGCAGCGGGAGCTGGTGAAGCTGCAGCGCCGCAGGGACTCTGAGTAAGTCAAAGGCTGCTCACCCAAGTCTTGGTTTTTTTCCAGCTGGGCACTTTCACTGCCTCTCGGCCTGGGAGAGAAAACTGCCCTCCATCCCTCCCTGCCTCCTCTCCTCTCCTCCCGGTACATCCCGCCAGAGCTTTGCACAGCACACTCCTAGGCTATGTGACACAACAACCTGGTAACTGGTGACTGCAGCTGGGAGACTGTGGTAGAGACAACCTTGGCTTCAGCAGCTCAGTTTAGCAGTTTGGTGGCAGGTGAAGGTTCTGGGTTGGCTCCCGTTCTTGCTTGCTTTCTTTTAATTATTTTCCCTTTTTCTTCTTTTTGGATTTATTTTCTTTATTTTTTTCCCTGTTTGTTTTGCTTTTAGGTTGCAAAATTTGCTTTTGTTTGGTTTTGTTTTGTTTTTTGTTTTTTTTTTGTTGCCTTGGTTAACAGTGAAGCGTGTGGTTTTTTTAAAGGGAAAAGCATGACGAGAAAAGTAGAAGCTTGGCGAGAAGAGGCCCTGGAAGGCCCAGGAAGAGGAAACTTGGATCAAGCGCTCTGTCACCCATTAAGGAGAGAGGGAAGAGTGACAGCAAGAGTGGAAAGTAAGGCTGGAATTTGGGGAAGACGGGAACATGGCAGGGTCACTGTGCCAGGGTCTGACTTGGGGAGAGCATCTCGGATGCAGCGGGGGCTCGTTGTGTTGGCAGGCCGGCCGCTGGCTGCGGCGGTGGAAGCGCGTGCTGGTAACGTGAGTGTGTCCTTTCGGTGGGAATGCAGTGCCAGCGCCCTCCCTCCCCGCAGCTAGAGCGTGTGTCTGGTGTTGGGTGCAGGCAGGACAGGTGGAGTTGAGCAGCTGTGAGGTGATATGGCTGGCAGGGAGCTGTAGGTGAGGTTTTGGAGTTGGGGAGCGTGTCCTCATGTGCTTTTAGGAGAGCAGATGTTGCAGTCAGGTGCCGTAGAGTCAGTTGTAGTGGTGTTGGTGTCAAAACGGGGAAGGACAGTGTTATTCCAGGTTATCTACTTTGTAGGACCTTTCTGCTGTGTTTCTTCTGTCTTCCTCTCTGTTCTCTGAATCAGTGGGAGCTGGTTTTGCCTGACATCCCTCTTTCAAGCATCTGAATTATTCTGTACTCTGCTTTCTACTCTTTTACAAGTCCAGCTGCTCTTGTTTGGATCTCACCATTGTTGGCCATCTATCCTACCATAGATGGCCTCTCCAATGGGAAGGCATTTCCAAGCTGCCTCCCTGCGTGCTCCATGTTTTCACAAATACTCTTTTCAAGACTGCAAATCAGAGTCAGGTGCCCAGCTCCCACTGACCAACGCTTCTGAAAGTCTGTTCTCTCGGTGGCTCCGTGTTTTGCTCTTGGTGTTTGGGTGACTGGACAGGCTGGAGGCATCCAGAGGCACTGGAGTTGTGCATGTGTGGGTGCTGTGTGTGTGCATGTCCCTGGATCACAGGAATGCTGGAGCAGGCTGCTCTGGGACATGGATGTGCACCCTCAGCCAGTGTCCAGGGCCTTTGGTGTTGGTTTAGCTGTCTGTGCAGGTCAGCAGAGCGGACAGAGGGAGGGGAAATGCCTGGAAGCTGAGGAGGCTGCCCCGTGTCAGTGGCTTTGTGGTGGTGGTCTGACCAGCAGGTTTAGTGTGAAGGAGGCAGCAAATGAGAGCTTGAAATGGAAGCTTGGTAGGAATCTTGAGGTATTGACTGATCATCCATAGTTACTGGAGATGGCTGGGGAGCTGGGAAAGATGTGCTTATAGTCTCACCTACTTTATTTTTTATTTTATTTTCTTATTTATTTACCCTCTCCTTTCCCCCCAAATCCCAAAGCAAGTCCAGTGACGTAGATCACAAGTGCCTTTCACTAGGGGCCTGACTTGGAGACTGGAGTGAGCCAGTCCTTGCAGTGCCTTTGTCCCTCCCTGTCACCCCATGTGGCACTTCCTTGCCACCTCCAGCTCATACCAAAGCAACCAAAGCAAGTGTCTGGGCAGTGAGGCACCTCCCTGGGCCTCAGAAGTCTCTCTCTGCACCTCCAGAGTCCATGGAAGTAGAAGTGGGAAAAGACCTTAAGGGCCACCTCAGCTGTCAGTCCTTCCTGTTGCTGCTCTGTACCAAATCAGGCACTTTTTGGTGGCTGTTACCGAGACACCAAGCACTTCCTTTTAGAGACCACTTTGCTGGTCTCTGATTTCAGGCATCCTCATCTCTCCTGGTGGCCAGGAGTGTGCACAAAGGGCTCCTTGGCTCTCCAGTTTGGTGGGAAACCTTGTTCAAACTGCTGTTACTTCACAGTAGACTTGGCTCCCACTGAGGATCCCCACTGTCTTAGGAGGCATTTAACCTCACTTTTGAGCTTGGTGGGGACCACAAGGAGGAAAGCCCCCCCACCTTGACCCGTCCTGTGCTTGGCTTGCAGACTGAGCAAGTCCTTGTTACTCTCTGAAGACTCTGAGACTGGTGAGGGCATGAAGAAGAGGCACAAAGGGGCCCTCCCGGAGGAGGACGAGGATGTGGAGAGCAGCAGTGGCAAGATGAAAGGGAAGAACCCAAGCTGGGAAGAGCACGATGCGGCTCCCAGCTTCTCAAATGAGGTCAGTGCCCTCATGGGGAACATGGAGCCAAAAGCCCATCTCTTTCCTGCTTTGCTGGTGTTGGCTTGGACTCCTGATCTTTCAGTGTCTGCTTTTCAGTCCACATGGGTTTAGATGCTCCTCAAGAGAGGATTGTGTGCAGTGGAGGGGCTAATGTTGGCTTACAGAGGTTGAACCTCTTTGGAAGGCAGCAGTCAAGTGCCTTGGAGCCAGCCAGAGCATTCAGTGCTGCACTGGCTCTGAATCCAGAGCAGGGCTTCTCTTACCCCTTTGCCTATTGAGAGAGCACAGGGAAATGGATCTCCCAAAGCGAGGGAGGAATGGGAGCACAACCTTGTTATTTCAAATGCAGGATTTTCTTCTGCTCCTGTTGAGGCAATGAGATATTTACTGGAGCTTTAAGCTGCTGATGAAGTCCAAAATGCAAGCAGGCAAAGTACTGAGTTAGAGCTGCTGTTATCTAGCTGTAGCACATGTAAAATATATTACTTTTTTCAAGAAGCAAGAAAATACCGAGAAGGATGTAACAGCTCTGGCTGTAGTGCAGTGGTGCTCATCCTCATGCTGAGAGGTATTTGGGTTTTTTTGGCATTCCAGCCTCTGGAGCTGGTTGATAATGTGGAAATCCGTATTTATTTGGCTGGTTCTTGGGTAAAGAAGATTTTTAATCCTTGTGATTTAGAGAAAAGCTTGTAAAACCAACCCAAACATACCCTAAAAACCAGGTGGTGCAGAGAAAAAAGAACGCCAAAGTATGTTGTTCCATGAACATATTTGTTTTGGAAGAACATTCAGGTTTCCTATGTTAATCTTGCAATTTTGTAGAGCTCAGTAAGAGTAAAACTCTACTGTTTGCTGACATCTTCCTCTTCTTCCTCCCTAGAACCATGTTGGGTTATGGCAACTGGGGCTGAGACTGATTATCTACATGCATGACACAATTTGGAGGGCTATTAAAATCCCTCAGGTCTGCCATATCTGCTCTATGCTCACCTTGTCTCTTCCTTTCACCTCGGCAGTTAAAGCTCAAAAAGAAGAAGGTGCCATCAGATCAGGAGCAGCTGGCCAGCAAGCTTGACAAGGCCCTGTCTCTCACCAAACAAGACAAACTCAAATCTCCCTTCAAGTTTGCTGACAGCTCTGGGGGAAAGCTCAAAACCAGTGGAGGTGGCAGCAGGTACCTCCCAGCTCATGAGGCTCTGCCAGGCAAGGAGGAGAAGAACCTGGCCAAGAACCTGGGCTTGTCACTGAAAACTGCCAAGGAAGGTAAAAACAAAGTGACTGCCAAAATGAAGAAGATGGAGGTGGGGTTAAAAGTCAAAAATCAGCTCAAGGTTTCCCATTCACCAGCAATATCTGAAGTTAGCAGCTACTCCTACAGTAAGTAACCTCTTTTGTATCTCTTCTATCTGTAGGAGGGATTGTGGTGGGAGTTTCTGGCCTATTGAAAGGGGTCTTGCAGATGGGTCTGGTTTTGCTCAAGAATGAAAAGTGACCTTCTCCTCCCAGTGGCTGCTGCTGCATCTTTGGGGTCAGTGTGGGCTGTCTGCCCATCTTGCTGTCCAAGGGGAAGCCACGATCAGTGTGTCTCTTCCTGACCTGTGCTGTATTCATCATCAGTGGGGAAAAACACTTAAAGAAGTTGACCCATGCTCTTGCTTTTGGTGGGAGTAGACACTCTTCTTCTACCTGTCAGATGAGCAGGTGGAGCCTCTTCTCTAGGAGGTAGTTGACTTTTGAAGTCCTTGCTGAGTTCATTTGGCTTGGCTTTAGGATTATGCCATGGAATCTGTTGGAAAGGAAAAGCCTGCCAGTGACACTGATGTTCCTGAGCATCCTCCTGCCCTTCAGTGTCACAGCTTGCTTCCTGGCTGGCTGTGCTGAGCCTTCCCATCTGTCTCATCGGTGTTTGTCCCCACCCCACATCAGTGTGGTTATTGTTAGTTGTGAACCCAGAGTGTGCCTGAGGTGAAGGTTCCAGCAACTGACCCCTGTTACAGAAGGAAAAATCTGAATTGCTGACTGTGTTGGGAAAACAGTAGAACCAAACATAGGAGAGTCTTTAACAGTTCAGGCAGACATTGGGGCAGAGTTTATGGTCTGAGACCATTGTGTAATGGTCTCAGCTCACTTGCACACACATCTTTCCTTTTGCTTGCAGCTATTTAAAACCATGTTAAAACCTTTATGGGGTGTTTGTGTGCATAACAAATATATCTCCTGGTGCAACACTAGTTTAGAAATTTCACTAATGGGGAAGATGAGCTAGTGACTCTCCAATGGAACAAATGTTTGGCATGAAATTAGCCATTTAGATGGCAAAATAGGAGTCATTGTGTCCACTGGACTTGAACACAGCCTTTGGCTTATTGTGCTGTACACACTACCCAGCAGTTCTCTTCCTGACTGTGCTTTACTCCCAAGGACAGACACATATCTCCTAAACTGTGGGTTCTGCAGCTAACGGGAATAGGAAGGATGGGCTGTTGCTGGAGCTAAAGCCTTGGCTCATGCAGAGGGAGCTTTTACAATGCCTTCACACTTGGCACTGTGGTTTCATGAGCAAAAACTCCCTTTCAGACCTAACAGAGCTTCTATCGGACCACTGTCCAGTGTACCATTCCTGGTGTAGGAATGTTCCCCTTTGTCACTCAGGTCTCAGCTCAGGATTGTTGCGACTGAGGAAACAGTTTGGCTTTGGTTTTTCAGCTGTGTGCAGGTTCAAGAGAAGGGCCTCAGCCTGTCATTTCGTCACTCAGGCATGGTGAATTTGGGGAGGCAGGTCGAGCATATGGCAGCACCTCCCATGATTGGTGGGCTGCTCATGTGGAGAAGGAGAAGTGAGACTGGTGCCAAATCCTTCTGCCTCTTGACCTCAGGATTTTCTGTCTTGAGTCCTGAAAACTTTGGGCATAGATCCAAAGGGTGAACCGAGCATCCTACTCCCACAAATTTTAAGAAACGTCAGGTGTCCAAAATAATATGCATGTTTGGGCTTTGAGCCTCCTAAACTTGCCATTCTTCATGTCTTCCTCTCCACAACCCAGTGCACTGGAGTTGGGGAGTGATGCCACAACGTCTGTAACGTTGTGGAGATGAGGGCAAGTCCACCAACGGGGAGGTGACAATTTACACCCACTTCTATTGCATCCGTGGGTACCATATGCTTTTTGTCCCTTTCATCAGATACCAGAGGGGATGGCTGGATAACTTCTCACTGCCCACAAGGCTTAGGAGCTTCGTAAAACCGTGGTTCACCGACCGAGGAGTGGCTTGGTCCCTGCTCTTTCACGGTGTACGCTGTGGAGCATCCGAGGCAGTGTGTTTGGAGTCAGACATTTGGAGTTATGCATCCTGCCTTCTTGGCAGCTGGGCTTGCTCCAACCACACATGTTGAAAACCCTTTGCGAGAGGTGGTTCATGTAGAAAAGGAGATTCAGGTCAAGAGTGTTGAATACCACCATAATCAAGGCAAATTCAGTTTGATGGTCCAGTTGTTGACAGTTGATTGTTACTGTGCCTTTGGTGGACATTTTCATAGTGGAAATGTTTGCTTCATTTTTCTCTTGCCAAGCTAAAAACACTCTTTGGATCTTGAGGGAAGACAAGGAGATGGAGAACATTTGTGATAGAACGTAGGAAATGTGAATTTCTATGGTTGTTGAGCACAAGGCTTATGACGGAGTGCTTGGGCAGGGGTGGACAGCAGTGGCACCAAAACCCCCCAAAAAATCCCCAAACCCGCATTCGGTGACGTAACGCTCTTCCCACCCGCTTTGACCACAGATACGGACTCGGAGGAGGAGGAGGAGGAGGGATCCCTGAGGGACGAGTGGCCAGCGCAGCCCCCGTCCGCTGCCAAGCCGCGGCCGCCTGGCCTGTACAGCTCGACGGGCAGG